TCATGGGTGGAGGGATCCAGTCCCTCTCTGGGCTTGAAAAGCCTCGGCTGTCCTTTGAGGAGGTTGTTCGATGTCGTCAGTGGCTCTCACCTCAGGAGGCAGGTGCTCTTGTGTTTTCCCTCGCAGGTGCAATGAACCGTGAGGTCTGCAGACTTCAGTCTCTGCAAACAGTCCCCCACCCCACCCTGCACCCTGCACACGCACACACTTGGGGCTCCGGCTTGTTGTGCTGCCTGACAAATCCTGCAAGAGGCCACAGCATCTGTGAGAGGAACGTGGGGGGGGGGGCTTGGCCCGGTGGGTTTCAACTATTGCAAGGATGTTGGCCTCATTCTTGGCGCTCTGGAAAGCAAGAACAGCAAAAATGTGCTCAAGGGACAGGAGAAAAAGGTTCCTTAATTGCTGGCCAGTCCCATCAAGGTGCCGAAATGTTTGGAAAAAGACCAGAAAACAGCCTTGGGGCCTCGTTGCAGATCCCGAAGGGAGAACATTGGTGGCTCCGGATGAAGGACTCCTCCAAAAGAGAGCTTCCGTCCTCAAGTGCCCTCTTCCTTCCTTCCCTTCCCGTTGTGGGAGGGGCTCTGCCTCCTCCTCCTCCTCCTCCTCCCCTGGCAGGGTTCCTGAGCTCCCTGGCATCTCTCCCTGAACAGGGGTGTGGCTCCCAGCTCCCCACACTTTGGGTGAGCAGGCAAAGCAAGGTGACACCAAAACAAAACACACTCAGTGGCTGGTAGAGAACATCAAGTCCTCAGCACCACTCCAGCTACAGATTTTGCAACCAGCTGCTCCAAAGGGAGATGGTGGCTTTTGGAAGTTGCCAAGGGTGGGGCAGACGCTCTCCCCCAGGCGTCCCCTTCTGTCCTACTCTCAGAGCACAACCATCACCAGCAGTTCTGCTTCTCCCCCTACCCAACAGCCAGGCGTGGCAAGGAAGCCTCCACACACTCATGAACCCTGCCGCTCGCTCGTATGTCAGCAGAGAAAGAACACTGGCAAGAACAGAGTGCTCCGAGACAGCTTTCCTGGGAGGAGGAGTCTGTCCTTGGCATCTCCAGCAGGGCTTGGGCTGGAGGGCTGGGTCGAAAATGGGCTTGGCAGGTTGGGAGGGACGTCTCTGGCGTCCAAAGAAGAGAGAACATCGCACCTGACCTGATGGCTCCAGGAGGACCCCGCCTGGCGCAGAAGAAGGACCCGTTTCTCCTCCACAATTTGAAAGTCTGGTTCCCTGAACGTGTTGGGATTTGATCAGTTCATCGGGGTCGGGCAAAGGTCTGTCATCTCCCCAATCCAACCCCTTTAGGATCCCCGGGATCTAGAAGAATCTCTTTCTCAGCTGGATCCCTCCTTCCCTTTGATCCTCCATCACAGTGCGCAGGTGAAAAGGAGAAGCCTCCAGACTCCTTCCAAGACGATGGGTGGAACTTCCTTCCACAAGGGCAGAGGCCCCCTTTGGGTGGGAAAAGAAGCGACAGCTGAACTCAAAAACCACAGGGTCTTCTGGATACCCTGCTCTTATGTAAGGCAAGGACCGACCTGCTGGAAAGGAAACCTTAGCTCTGCGGAAGCCAAGCCACTCGCCGCTGCACGGCCAGCCTGCCAAGGCTTTTTTTTTACTCCAGCCCACCAGCCTCAGTGTTTTCAGGGTGTTGCACGGCTGCCAAGCCCAGCCACAACGCCAGCCACCCCGGGAGCCTTTTCTTACATAACCCTGTGAGGCTGGGAACATTCTTCATGGTGGTTGTCAATTTGTTTTGTTCCTTTCCGAAGCTTCCTCTCCTCATAGTGTTGACTTCCTCTGGTTCTGAGCTTGCTCGAGTCAATTCAGGTCAAGGCTCTCGACGCTCACTTCCCTCAGCCCATCCATGTGGGCAGGATCTGGAGGGCTTGCACAGGCCGCAGAAGCAAAGTCAGAGAGCTGGCCACACTGGCGTGAGAGGGGCAATAAGGCCTGGGGCTGACCCCTTACACCACCCCCCACCAACTAGGTCTAAAGTGGACACCTCACTAGAAGAGGGAAAGTGCTCAAGTGCTGATCATGTGTGCGAATGTCAGAGCAGGAGGCCCTCTCTCCTCCTTCCGTCCACCCATTAGCCTGGTCTGCTCTATGATTGCTCCACAGAACATCATCATACGTTCTTGGTTTGCAAGCCTGATTTCTCGGGCATGAAAGTCTGCCTGAATCACATCTCGTTGGAGCATGATGTCACTGTTCAATCTGCTCTAATGATGGGTTGTAATGCATGGCCATCAGACACACAACATGGCTCTCCAGCCACTCTTCAGCCACAGCAGAGCATGGGTTCCAAACCCAGCCTCTCTGTGGCAAGCCCACCCCTCCATCCCAGCCGCAAAGGGTAGGCGAGTGCCCTGCCTGGGGAGATCCAGGTGACGCAGACCCCTTGCAACCTTCAGGGACCCAATCCTTCTGCTTCTCATGAGAGAAACCTCCAAAGCTGGGCTGCAAAGAGGTGGCTTGTGTTCGTCTATGGCAGGGACACAAACACACAGAAGAAGAGAGTGTGTCTCGTAGCACATCAGGGACTAGGGAGCTTAATTATTGCATAACATATTTGGCCTTCAAGAAATGGCAAAACTCCTTGGTGTTGTTTGCCCAGCTGTTCGGGAGGCCTGCCTCCTTTTTAATCGCATTGGATGCAGATTATATTTGACAGCGCTCGGCGGCCCAACAATTAAGAAGGGCGGAAATGGTACCACCTTCCAGGTTTCAGTGAACTGGATGTGGAACAACCGGGCAGAGCCACCCCTTCCCTGCCTTAGCCCACAAGCTGTTTTGGAAAGTCTTGGGCCTCCCCTTCGCCTCCCTCACCAGGGAGCATAAGCCGACCCAGCCCTCTCGCCTGCCCTGCAGTCTAGGGGGCTTCCATGGGCCTCTGTAGCCAAGGGACATTGCTGTCCCTCCCCCCCCCCGCCAGCACTGCCGGGCACACTTAACAGGCAGGGCACCTCCGGCTCCTGAACCAAGCCCCTTACCCTAACCCTTCTGCACGTAGGCCCTGGAGGCCAGAGAGGGAAGGAGCTGGCCACGTCCGAGGCTTCGTTTTGCCTGCCTGGATGTGGAAAGGGGCTGTGTGGGCTGCTGGCATCTGGGCCGCCCTGCTAGGGCAGAAATGCTGGCAAGCGGGAGAGGTCAGACCGAGCAGCTGCCACCCAACACCTCCCTCTGTGTGCGCGCGTGGGTCCTCACCCTAGCTCAGCTCTTACTCTGGAGAAGACCACCTGCCGGCAAAAATGCTGCAGAGCCAAATTCCCCAGAATGAGGGTTTGCCAATGGCTGTGCTTCTCCAGTTGACCTTCTGCCTGCCAAGCGGCTTAGACGGGCAGGAGACCTTCCAAGGGGGGCGCGGGGGGGGGAATGGATGGTCGCTTCCCACGGCCTGGTTGTGCCGGCCCTTTCTGCTCCTGGGTGCCATTCGGCTCTTCGCGCCCCGCCCGGAGCAGGAGAGGAGGCTTCCGGCCGCGAAGGACCGCGCCCCCCCCCTCCCGAAGCGGCCTCCTGCCAGATGGGACTCGTCCCAGCAGCCCAGCTGCCTTTCCAGCCCCGGCGGGAAGCGGACAAGATGTACCCGGGCGGCCCCCCGGCCAGGAAAGCGCGCCGGGATTGCGGGCAGGCGGCCCGCTTGCACCCCCGCCGTCCGCAGCGCAAGAGCGCCGACTGGTGGCCGCGGAGCGCAGGGCGGCGGGGGGGAGCGGGGAGCGTCCAGGTCTCCCGGTGAGGAGCCGGGCGCCGGGGCGGGCAAACAGGGGGCCGGCCTGAGCGGCAGGAACCGGGGAGGCCGAGGGCGGCTGGGGCGGGAGGGAGAGGTGTCAGCCGAGGCCCCCGTCGCTCGGGAGGCGAGCAGCTGCGTGAGATTTCCGAAGGTTCCCCCGATGCTGGTGGGCAGCCGAATCGGGCCAGGGAGGAGGGCAACGGCCAGAGAACCCCCGTGTCTCTGGCTGGGCGCGGGAGGAGCGCGTGCACGTCGGGAATCCTGCCTGCTGGCTTTTCTCCCCATAGTCAGAAAGGAAGGGGTCGAGAGAGGGGGCAGGGGAGCGGGGCTCCTAGGGCTCCGCCGGCCATTCAGTGAAGGTGGGAGCGCAAAGGGTCCCTGCGGAAGGTGGGGCATCTTCGGCCCCAGGGCCTCTCCTGTGCCCACTGGCGGGAGGGCCGCCGAGGTGGCCGAGAGCCAGGAAAGCAAACCCTACGAAGAGGGAGGGAGGGAGGGATCAGGCCTGGGGGACAGGAGGTGGCTTTGGCCTGGAGGCTCCCCCAGGCAGGTCGAAGCCCCCCCCCCCCCGACCTAGACTGGCTGTTCTGTGTGCCTCTCTGCAGGAAGCCGGGAGCAGCGGAGATGCCCCAGCCTTTTGCCCACGAAGCACCCACAGACTCTGCTGTCCTTTCTGAAGCCAAACGGAGGGAGGGCAGAGTGCTTCCTCCCAGGGGCATCATCTCCAGGGGCATCATCTCCAGGTCAGGTAGCAGGCGGTCGGGTGACAGGGAGAAAACAGCTTGGCCTTGTGCCCAATCCTTCAAAGGCAGCCTCATTTATTTATTGCATTAAGTTCTTTTCTGGCTCCAAAGAAACATCTTCCATAAAGACATAAAACCAAAGAATGGGGATATAAAAGCAGGAAATCACAATGTCAAGGACACGGCAAGATAACGAGGGCCTCTGAGTCAAGGTCCGAAGCCCAGCGTTCCCTGGAGACACCCGGAGGGCCCAAGGGAGGTCCTTCGGGCAGGATATCCACATGCAGGAGGGCAAAAATGGACACAGGCGCCTTGATGGGCTCCCTGGTACCTCTTGCCACAGAGAAGGGATGTGGGGGCCCCTGCTCGCCACAGGACGCCTGCAGTCATCTCCTCCTCCTCCTCCTCCGGCCTGCAGCTTAAGGAACAGCTTCGGGAGCCCATTGAAAAGCCCGCTGACCTGCAAGATGGGGGAGAGCCCCCCCCTTGGTTGTCTGCCATGCGATGCCCCTCCTCGCCTGAGCTCTCCATCCATTCTGCCCCCCCCCGGAGGTTCTAGGTGATGCAATGGCCCCTCTCAGAACCCACCTCAGTCCCCTGGCGGAGGAGCCCATTGGCCCTCAGCGCCCAGCCTGTCCCTGGCACCTGCCACTGCCCAGACCCTCCTCCGGCTCACACCCTCCACAGCCAGACATCTACACCCTTGCCTCAAAAGAAGAGCATGGCTAGAAGGTTCGGGGTGGTGGTGGCGGTGGCAGTGGAGCAGTGAGGCCTGACCCTAGCAAGGCCCTGTGGCCACCGAAGGAAAGGTGCCCTTGGCCCACCTCTCCCACACCGGCTCAGCCGAGCAACTGGGTGTCACAGACGTTTCTGTGAGGTCGCAGCTGCCCTCTTCCCCCAGGCCCTGCCCTGGCCCCACAGTCCAAGGCCACGAGGGTGGGGCAGGCCAGGGCAACTCCTCCCTGAACCCCCTGCCGCCCTTCCCTCTTCGCAGGCAAGGGCCTGAAGGGAGGGGGCCGGCATGACAACGGGAAGGCCCCTCGCCATGGGAACCTGAGGAGCCCCCCCCTCTCTCCCTAGAAGGGAGCATGGAGCACTACGAGACCCTGCTCAGCATCGGCCGGGGCGCCAGCGCAGAGGTGTTCCTCGTGAGGGACGTGAGAACCCAGCAGCTCTTTGCTGTGAAGAAGGTCAAGACCATCCCCAGCAAACGGCTGCGGAGCAAGGAAGCCGTGCTGAGGGAGGTGGCCATCCTGAGGCAGCTCAAGCACCCCCACGTGGTGGCCTGCCACGGCTACTTTGTGGACCCGGACGGAAGCCACGTCTTCATCCTCCAGGACTACTGTGCCGGCGGGTCCCTGGACGAGCACCTCCGGGCCAGGAGAGGGGGGCCCTTGGCCGAGAGCACCGTCATGAGGTGGTTCGTGCAGCTGGCCACGGCGGTCCACTACATCCACGCCCTGAAGATCCTCCACCGAGACATCAAGTCGTCCAACGTCTTCCTGACGCGGACCCGGATCCTGAAACTGGGGGACTTTGGGATGTCCAAGGTCTTGGAGGACACCCTGGCCAGCACCTTCGTGGGCACCCCTTATTACCTGAGCCCCGAGCTGTGCGAGGACCTGCCTTACGGCCCCAAGGCCGACATCTGGGCCCTGGGCTGCGTCCTCTTTGAGATGTGTGCCCGGCAGCCCCCCTTCCAGTCCCTCAGCCTGCGGGGCTTGTTCGACAAAATCGTGAGAGGGGACCACGGCCCCGTGCCGGCCTGCTACTCGCCCCCCCTGCACCGCTTGATCCGAGCCCTCTTGGAGAAGGCGCCCAGCCGCAGGCCCTGTGCCACAGCCCTCCTTGCGCTCCCCTACGTCCAGGGCCACCTCCGTCTCTTCCTTCGCCAGCAGGAAGCCGAGCTGGGGAGGAAGCCCCCGCCGGAGGCGTTCGACGAGGGAGACGACGGTGGGCTCAGACAGGCTGGGCGGCCCCCAAAGAGCCCCCCAGGCGGTGCAGGCCCGGCAGCCTCGGCTCTGGCCTCCCCATCTCTCGATCCGCAGCCACCGCTGCCCAATGACCGTGAACAGGAGGATGGCTGGAGCCTCTCCAGCAGCGGTTCCCATTACTCGGCTGACGCTGAAGACAGCAGCCCTTCTTCCTGTGCCACCTGCAGCTCCGAGGAAGGCGGACCCCTCAAGGGGGAGACGGCCACGGAGGCGCTGAGGACCCTGACAGGTAGGAGGCTCTGCTCTGCTCAGCTAACCCATGGCGCTTTACCTTCAGGCAGGTGGCGGAGCCAGGCCCTTACAGGCAATGGGGGGGGGGGAGGCAGTCTGGGTTCCCCGCTGACTTCAAGGCAGCCGCTCACAGTCTCTCTGATCCAGAGTGTCTCCCTTTAGCTCCCTGGAGGAAACGCAAGATACAAATCCGACCAGTGAAAAACAAACAAAAAAGGATAAAGGGGCATGGAAGTCAAGACGCCCGAGGGGACTTTAGTGTTCTGCCCACCCTGGAGCTCAGCTGTCAGGGAGCTGGCTGGGGCACCAGGGTATCTTCTCCATAGAAAACAGACCAAAACAGCTGAAAAGGAGAGACAAAAACATTGCTGCACCTTAAAGTCTGCCTGCTGTATTTTCATTTAATGTGAGCTTCTTCAGGCGCTAGAGTGAGACTAGAAAAGGGGCCCTATCCAGGTAGCCGCCAAGCCTCAGCTTACAAATTCCCACTGCCCATGATGGACTAGTTCTCCCCTTTCCTTCTTCTCTGCCTGCAGCATCTGAGAATGACTGGGAACTGACCAATGACCCCGACGATTTTGAGGACTCAGAGGGGACTCTGGAAGAAGCAGAGGAGGACTGCGAATGCGCCATGCGGGCAGCGCAGGATGGGGGGCCTCCCTCTCTTCTGAGTGCCCTGCAGGAGTGTCCAGGTAAGGCAGCCCCAGGCTTCCATTGCCTGCCCGGAGTCCTCCGGTGGAGCACAGGGAACCTCTGGCCTCACCTGCACCCTCTGCGTGGCTGCTTTGGCTTTCCCTGCTCCATCCTTCCACTTGGCCCTCTTAACTTGCAGCTCCTTTCTGACCTGACCTGACCCAGGGGCTCGTCTCCATTTGTCCAACCACCTCCTGCCCATGAATGGTCTCCTCTTCCCCCAGATTGCTACTGTTTGTGCCACACTGGCCTAGTCCACCCCCTCAAACCCTCTCCCCTCCACTGCTCTGGCACCAAACCCTCCGGCCTTCACTCTCTTGGTATCCAGAGACACACCCAGACACACCAAGTGGGGCTCAAGGCACATCCCAAGCCCAGTTCACATGCGCTGAATGGCACCAGCCATGTACTGCATGAAAGCTGTCTCCTTTACAGATGACGCCTCTGGCTGGAGCGAGGGCCACGGCAGCTTCATATCCAAGGATTCCCGGCCCCTCCCGGAACAGGGATGGTGTTCAGATGATTCTGGGCAGCTGGAAGATTTCAACTCACTCCATCAGCTGTGCCTGGAAAGCAGCGAGGGCGAACTCGGATATGACACAATAGCAACGTAATTACTGTGGCTGCGAGAAAGCCGACCACTTTGCCTGGATGGCCCCTGCAGCCGGCTGCGGGAGGTTGAAGGGAAGGGGCAGGGGGGGTGCTCTCCTGGCTCAACAGGCCCTGATGACCACCCTGGCCAGAGCACCCTCAGGGGAAGGGCTTCTCACTGCCCAAACGCCAGCGGAAGGAGCACTTCCCCTGCTCTCCTACTACTGTGACACCTAGCAGCCAGCGCTGCTACTCTTCTCCCCTCAACAAAACGGAGAGCGAGAGCCCACCTGAGGGGGCTACCAGAGAGGCATGTGGTCCATGTAACTAGGAAGACCAGCCAACAAATGACTACCGCCTGTTACACCGATGTTAGCCAACACTGGCTCATGCCTCCTTCTCAAATTGATTTTGACACATCCTCCCCAACCTCCTTCGTCCAGTCTGAAAACAAGCAAGCTTAACGTGTTCCCACAGCCATTTCTTTCACAAATAAAAAGGAGAAAGAGTCTGATCACTTAATGCACTAGTGGCCATCGTCCAAATAAGAAAGGTAAAAAGCTCTTTGTGAGAGGCGGGAAGCTAAGGGTAAGAGGGAGGGAACAGGAAACCAACACTACCGTCAGAAATACTTCTCTAGTTCAGATGGCTGAGCAGCTGCGAAGGGGAAGAAGAGAGGAGATGGCGGCTGCAGCTCCATGGCCTGTTCTGGGCAGAATTGCAACAGCCCAACTCCTGAGGTCCTGCAGCATCCCCGGACTTCAGGTCAATACCAGCTGCCACCCAGTTACCAGGCGAGGGGTGCGTATGTCTGTGTGTGTCTGTGTGAAAGGCCATTGCCTGTCTAACCTGAACTCCAGACTTTTGCATCAACGTCTATCTCCACAAAGCAACAGCGCACACAAATTCTTGGTTAGTCTTAAAACAGCAACAAAGTGCCAGGCCCTGCAAAGCAGGGGACAGGAACCCTCCCCCTTAATGCCAAGCCTCAGTATTTCCAAGTGGAAAAAAAAGGGCCAGGTGCCTCCAGGGGACCAATGCTCGACTCCTCCCCTCAAATTTCTGGGCTGGGAGGAAGAGAAGAAAATCCCAGAAAAGTCAGTATGGAAAAGGTTTTATTTGTGAAAGAAGGAACTCTGGGTGGGGCTCGGCACCAGCATTCCAGTGGGCTCAACCGCTGCTCTGCTTGGCTGCCAGCCTCTTGTCTCTCTCTTCGGCAATGGTGAGACGGATTCCTTTTCCACGAGGAAGGGAGATCCAAGGCTTGTTGCCCTAAAGGAACAGGAAAAGAGGTCATGAGCCGAGGCCGCAGACTCTGCCACCCATGCACACAGCGCCGGGCAAAAGGACTGTCTCACTGCAGCTTTCTTGGGGCAGCTCAGCTGGAGAACCCCCAGATGGGGAACGGGGCAGGTGGAGGATAGAATGCAACCCTCAACACATTCACCTGGCTAAAGCAGGCTTACTCCTGAGTGAACCTGTCAATGAGTGCATAGTTAGGTAGTTCTTTGTGGTGAGAGCAAGTTATGTTGAGCGTACGCAATCTTTACACAGTAGAAATGTGGTTTTTTTTGGGGGGGGGGGAGTCTTATGAAAGTGTTCAATGATTTTTACAACCAGGATTACATTATATACTTCTGGCTCTTCCCACCTGCCAAAACATACTATTTCTTTTAAAATAAAAACAGGTCAATTTGTTTCTCTCCCTCTTCCCAGGGAGGAGATGGAAAGCGTATCCCCTCTGCCCATGGGCCGACAAAGCTCTTGGTCTAATAAACTCATTCCCACGGGGAGTGGTGGCACCAACCACTCCTGTGGAACAGGCCACAGATGAGCAGCCCGCCCTGCTTACCTTGCCAATCACAAAGATGTTGGACAGCCTGGTGGCAAAGCTGTTGCCATTGGCATCCTTGACATGGACCACATCAAAGGAGCCAGGGTGTCTCTCCCGGTTGGTGATCACCCCAATACGACCCAAGTTAGCCCCTCCGGTCACCATGCACAAGTTGCCTGTGGTGAGAGAGAGAGAGAGAGAGAGAGAGAGTAAGAGAGAAGAGGGATCAGAAACTGCCCCATTTGCGTACAGGGCTCCTGCTTAACTAAGCAAGGGCCAGGCCTACCCAGCACAAGCCCAGCAAAGGCCAGGGCACCCTCTAAAAGCATACACCCAACTATGCACACGCACCTCACTCCTGCCTGCTGCCCTGGGCTGAAATTATCTGATGCTGGCATTTGAATACATACTCACCTGTGTCAAACTTGATGAAGTCTGTGATCTTGCCTGTCTCCAGGTCAATCTGGATGGTGTCGTTCACCTTGATGAGGGGATCTGGATAGCGGATAGTCCGGGCATCGTGGGTGACGAGGTGGGGGATCCCTTTGGTGCCCACAAAGATCTTCCTCACCTTGCACAGCTTGTACTGGGGGGAGGCAGACAAGAAGGGCCGCCATCAGTGCCCTGAGCATCACCATGGAATAACAAAGACAGCTGGAAGCCTCTCATACCATAACTGCTACTCTAGGAAGCTAGCAACTACAGCCAGCCATGCAAGTCCAGCTATTTATATGTAAGGCGGTAAACCCAAGAGCTACACCTGCAGTTTGGGAGCAAGGTTGAACAAAAATGTTCCCACCATAGGTAACTGCAATGCCAGAATACAGCCTACGTTAGCCTTTCTGGCCCTCAAACGGGACACCCACACCTTTTGCCTCCTTGGTCATCCTCAGGAAAAAGAAGCTAAGCTCAGACACTGCCGCTGCCAATGGTGCCACTTAAAAGAGTGGTTTCTATTTAAAAGACCTCCGCCCGCCCATGTACCAAGGGCTGCAGAGGCCACGTCCTCTTCTGGAGGAAGTCAGCTGAGGCGGAGGTCCCACGGCAACAAGACGCCAGAGGCCAGCTTCCAGAAAGGGTGCCTCAGCCATCCAAAAGGAAAGAGACCAAAACAAGCTGACACCTCGGCTTTCATCAATGCTGCTCATCTGGCAGACTCCACAGCCTAACAAGGCCAAACCTCACAACCCATGGTATTCCTTAGCATGACCGTCCTCCCTCCCCCCCTCCCCCGCCCAGGCAGAAGACTCTTGCGGCACTTGCAAAGCTCCAGAGTTACCTTGGCTTCTTCCGGTGTGATTCGGTGAACAGCAAAGCGCCCTTTGGTGTCGTAGACGAGCCGGAAATGCTCACCAGTCTTCTCAATGCTAATTACATCTGGCAAAGAAGAGTAGGTGCCGATCAGCATCAGCCCACAAGATACATCCAGACAGAGGGGGGACTGTTCAGCGGGCATGGACACAACCCTTTCAGGGTTCCAGAGGAGCAGACCCCAAAAATGAAGTGCAGGACTGATGCCACAGAGCCCTGACCTTCCCTTGGAAACGCAGTAAGTCCAGGCTCCTTCTACCACACGACCATCACCAGCCCAGTCAAGCTATTAAGCAGATCTTTTCATCCAACCAAACTGGGCGCTGTGTTCTTGTGCAGCGGCCAGCAAGACAGGAAACACAGCAGCCATTCTGGGGACTCTGACAGTCTCCAAAAAAACCCCATCCACCTCTGCTAACTGGCAGGGAGGAGGCCCCTTCCCTGCCTGGCTGCCACTCGAGATGCAGAGTGTCTGTTCCCCCACCCCACTCACCCATGAAGCCAGCAGGGTAAGTGATATCTGTGCGAACTTTGCCGTCAATCTTGATGAATCGTTGCATGCAGATCTTCTTGACTTCATCCCCAGTCAGAGCATATTTGAGCCTGTTCCTGAGGAAGATGATGAGCGGAAGACACTCCCGCAGTTTGTGGGGACCTGTGGATGGACGGGGTGCCTAAAACCCAAAGATCACAGACAGTCAGTATCAAGTCATTTAATGCCAGAACAGCTGCACACAAATGGAAGATCTGCGTATGGTCAAAGCAACAAGGCACTTCGCCCGAAGAATGCCACTGAAAAGGAAAAAAGGAAACACTACACAGCCCTCCTCTGAGCAAGACTCTGCAAGGATAACCACTGGCCACTTAGAAACAGATGCTGGTGGACAGCCTGGGACTCCCAGAACCTCGGCCACACACTCCTTTCCAAAGGGCTCAGTTGACTCCTTTTCCAGGGCAACCCTCCACCATCCAGCCCCTGCAAATCACCAGTCACCCCCATCTTCATCAATGCCTTGTGAAAGCTGACTTTGTTTGGCATCATACACAAATGCCATGAAGGTCTGTGTCACAGCCTCATGGAGAAGTCCAGACCTCACTGCTAGCTTCGAGAGCAATTCAGAAGGACCTCTTGTTAAAAGCACTCTGAGAACTCAGGGCGGTCCATTTCAGTTCTATGGGCCTCACCTTTCCCAGACCCTAAGAGAAAGAAATATGTGCACATTTGATTTTGCACTGGCTCTTGTCTCTGTGCGGGGCGTGAACGGCCCAAGAAGAAAAGCAGCATCTGTGGCCCTTTCTCAAAGTTCTCACTGCGCTCGTAGTCAAGAACGCTTCCTCTCATGCTCCGGGATTGGCCCTTCTGGGTGCCGACGTGCAATTCCACACCACTGACCCACACTGGCTACCAACCACAGAGAGGAAGCACACAAGCCCCTCCTGTACTTCCTCATGCTCACCCCACAACACTCCCATTGACAGATGTACCAACGTGAGCCCACTCTGGCCTTGTCCTAGCTGGGATCTCCGGTACCTCTGTCAACAGGTCTCGCTCCTTTAAACCCAGAGGCTGTCACTTTCCCTCAGCTATTCTGTATGCATTTAGTCTCACTTACTTCCCAGATCACACACCCAACATAGTTTAAAGAGGGCATAATCTTCAGCGAACTTTAGAGCACAACACTCAGAAAGTGAAGTGAAAGCAAATTGTCAATGAATTGTATTATGAAACAATTAATTCCTTAGAACAAGTCTCAGGATCAGACTGAGGGTCTCCTTCACAGAACATATACAATATTGCATCTTTCCAAAGTGGAAAGAATAGCGTAGCCTACAGCTCTAAGACCGAACCAGAATTCAGAATGGTACCCACAGATGAGCCACTAACCACAAGCCCAATGATGCACCCCGTGAAAAGAGCACCCTCTGAAGCTGGAGCTGTTCCTATCATATATCTCTGGGGTCCGGCACAGAATCTTATCATGATGGAAATTGTAAAAAGGAGAGATTGTCCATTGCAAATACGCACGCGAGACCGGGCAGGACCGGCTGCTTTGGAGAGCATAAAAACCCACCCAAAAGCTCACAATGAGGATGCAGCAGCAACATCCCCCACTTTGCAAAATGGCCATTAAAGGCCAACACACTTACAAAGACTCCAGTCAGCTTATCCAACATCCAATGCTTTGGAGCTGCTACGCGCTTCAGGTGCTTCTTGGGCCCACGAGCCTAAGAAAGAACAAAGGGTGAGACTTGGGAAGCCTCGGGTGGCTTTAAATGCTCAGCAACGCTCTTGACCAAGCAAAGTTATTTGCAGTGCCCAGCATGGCAGAGGCTGTGCCTCTGGCCCGTTTCTCCAATAAGGACCAGCTTGCGAGATCCTTCTTGCATCTTTAAGAACAGAACAAGCCCATATGCCCTTTCCAGAGTATTTTACTTACTAAATACCCTCTCTTATCTCCGTTAGGCTCAATCCAGAATGGGCTCCTCACCCACTAACGAGAGCTTGTTACTCCGGGGGCCGCGCCCCAAAGCCTCTCTCCAGCAACAACAGCAGCGGGAGAAGGCGGTGGTGGAGGATTAAGCGCAGCCCCCTTGCTTTCCACGTGGGCCTCTCGGCCCCTCCGCCGGCGCCAAGGCGAAGCCCGCCCGAGCGCCTGCCGGGCCTTTCGCCCTCCTTGCCCGGAGCAGAACCTGGGAGGGAGGGAGGGAGGCCAACCCGCCCCAAGCGGCCCTGCTCCGCGGCCCTTGCCCCCCCTCC